TCTCGGGGGAAAGATAAACTCAGATCTCCACGTATGGCCTCAAACTTTGTAAGCCATGTGTTGGACCTGACAACTGCGATTAAATTATACGTATCGAAACGAACAATACAACAAATACCATGGGTGATATCCAAGAAAATGAGAAAGCCCATAATCTCATACAACTTGACAAATAAAACGTTGTTTATTGTTTACTGAAACTCATGTAATGTGGACAAACAAATGGGCTTTTATTTCACCTAGCGACGAAAAGATATTTAATTTAGTTGTGCCCCACCCGTGGAACTACTATTAACATGATCCGCGGACAGAAAAGCGATCCTTCCGTAGGCAGTCAACACTCCGTGTTGCTATTTTGTGCTCTCTGGAGTAACCACCTAGTCGAACTCGCTAGACTGCGGTTTTTCATGGTGCTTTATTTCTCTGTTACTGAGTTGATGTTACTCAGTCCGTTTGACAGAAGTAGTATTGTGACTACGAGCAATGCGCATCTACCGTTAGACAATTCCATTAATTATTTCGTGTGCTTGTGTTATTTCTGAAGACTAGTTCCAAATGAGACATTTCGTTATATGTATGCCCTGTTTACCGATACCCTTACCGTTATTCATCATAAATAATACTCCTGATCCCTTGTGCGTTTATAACAGAAGTAGTAGTAGTAGTAGTGGTGGTGAATTGGTGCCTATTTTCCCTTAGAATATGTTGATATTTTATTTGATATTGTACCACATCAACTAACCTGTTAAACTCCTGGAAATCCTAAATCCTCCTGTCATTCACCTCACTGTCCATTGCTCACGCATGTTCAGTTTGTCCATATTCCATTCAATTCTTCTTTCTTTTCGGGGTGTCGATTCGCGTCGCTCAAACAATGCGCTTTTCCCCTTTTGAAATCACTTCGGGATACGACCCATGTGTTGACTTGAGCGGCAGGTGATTGTTTGGTCACTTTGTGATTACTTAGTTATCCCTTTACTGTTTAACCAGTTATTTCACGCGTTATACTCGCATTAGATGAATCAATTATTTACCCTACCCACTGCGGTTGCCGTGCCAATATCTCGGTCGTATGAGTTTGAATCCGCACTTTTATGTGTGGATCGGACTTAGAAATGGGTGAGGCGAACGACTGTTCTGATTAGGAAGTCATTATGTCCCATAGAATGCGTAGCGCTCACACATGTTCAGTTTGTGTGGATGCATCCATTACTGACACGGATGGACTGGTGTACAGAACGTGTTCCATTGTGTGGATAAGTGATGGGACAGATAGCTTTACCTGAATAACGCATGACTTCCGCGAGTCATATGATTTTTTGGGGTGTGTGTGTGTGCAAACAGAGAATAAAGTGGTCCAATCAGTCGATTGCGCGTTTCTCCGTGTACGTGTTTATCCGTAGTGCGAGGCAAACCAAACGGACTTCTTTATTGCCATTGGAATTTCACTTCATCAAACGAAGCACTATTCCGACTGGCTGTATAGATGATTTTTGCGGGGGAAGCGTTTTACATTATGAATTGAAATTCATGGTGAAATGTTCCTCTATACACGGCGATCCCTATACCGCTTGAAACGCTTTTCCAGAATAAGTTTCTCTCTTTGTCTTGCATTGCCCGGTATGCTCGTAGCTTTTTGTGAACAGTTGAAGGTTATTTTCTAAGGTTTTCACAATCGAATCCTTTGGCTAACCACATATCTCAACCCATAACTCAATTGAGCTTTGTATGAACATAACAGTTCTTAGGGAACCGGTATCGATTCAGTCCAAATTTTTAACCCTCCGGACGTGATGTAAACTACATTTATGAGGTTGCGTCACAATGTGACGATTTGAGAAATGTATATCCCACGGCTGTTTTGGGGAAATTGCGTCAGCTCTAACTCAAAACTAGACATTTCAGCCACTGTTCTTTACCCTCCTACCGGTGAATGGAGCGGGTTCGTCTTCGAAAAATTTAAACACCATGGTTTAATCCGACTACATTTTGTGCAATCATTGTTGCATCAGGTACGCCATCAGTCTAGTTTTGCCCATAGGAGCTATTCTGACCAGTAAATAGCCCGGGGACTGCACTGGGTCAACAACTCCGGTGTTGGAATCTCATTAGGCGTTCGGTTTGATACTCGCGCGACCTTACAGGTTCAATAGACGAGCGATGTGATTCGATCACCTCTTGTGGATCCTCCATTTCGATTTACTCCTCATCCGATTCCGCAGTATAGCATGAATGGTCTAGGTCACCATTGTCTGCTGTTGGAATCTCACTAGTACTACCACCTTGCCTTCCCATTTCTCTGCATAGTCACTTTCCCGTTTGTTGCCGTTATTGCTTGTACTTGTCCTGGTATCGCTCTCCTAACAGTCCGTTCCTACGTCGATACTGTATCCAAAGGCCTACTTTTTGATGAATGTGATTCCCAAAATTATGCTTCCTTCGACCGATAGGCATATCATATCAACTAGTCTAACCGCCCCTGGATGTTCTCAGAGATTTTTTTTAACCCTGATTCTTAACATTTAGAGCACAGTATTTTTGGTGCGTTAAGAGCCATTTCATACAGTTGCTCTTCGTTTATCCGGGCTGTTCACGGATCCCGTGGCACTCGATTTTTGAATTCATCCCCCTCCTGCCAAACTTAGGACTTACTTTCCAGTTGCACCGTGTTGACTTCTGAGTAGTATGTTTTGTTCACAGAGTGGTCAGTGCGATTGTTTCATCATCTGTTGCGTTTTAAAATTCCGGATTGTTTGAAACCGGGCTGGTTCTACTCACTAAATTTCAGACAGGGAACTATTCCCTTGTGATCCTCATACAGCGTGAATGAAACCTGTTTCAGTCCATCGGGGCGTGTGATTTGTGCGCTCGTGTGTGTTCTGAGTAGTTTCGGGTTGAAGTGATGAATGGTCTGGACCTCCGAGCCGGCCCACCGATCACAAACACGAAATTGGGTGTAACCCTGTTTCTCCTCGGGTGTGGTGATAATAGTATGGTGAAACCCTGCTTACAATAAAGGCGCCTACGCATCGGGCGGACGAAATTGTACTGTTTGTCCGACGATCGTTCCCATGGTATCCCGAGGATCATGGAAAAAGAATCAAAACAGAATTACTCATTTTCCTCGATTGTATCTGAGTTCTCTTCTCTACTTGTCAGCTCTACGGGTGTCATATGTCAGCAAGTTGTTCATTAGTCATTTGTTGAATTAGGGAGGTACCGCCTCCGGTTTTTTTTCAACTTGCCGTCCACACCTGTCTTCGAGTCGTCGCTAACCTGTCATAAATAAGACTTCTGGGGCGAATCAGTCTTTCTGTGATGGATTCACTCGGTTCTAATTAATCGCCTTTGTGAACGGAATAACAAATTGGTATTTCACATCAGTTTATTCTTATCCCTTATGTTGTCTCTGGTATTGTCGTATCACCTAATGGAGCAATATGAAATTAAAGTGGAATCGATCTCATAGCAGACAAACAAATTATCATTATTATTATTATTATCAGATTAGCACACTGCAAGAATTGTTCCGAGTGTCGTACACATTCGTTAAATTTGGGAGTTCTTTGCATCACGCACAAATTCGGTGATCCGAATCTACGAGTGTTACATAACGTCAGAAGAACGCAAAGTAGCGACCAGATTTGGTTCCCGCATCTTATCTACAATTTATATCATAATGTTTTATGGGTTGAAGATTCACTGCAGGCTTAAATAAAATCGACTGAGCTCTAAAGCCGACCATCTATTACACTTTTGACAGGTGGGCATGAACATTCCAGATTTTTGTTGCCGATCAGAATGTCAATGTACTGGAAAAGAGCTCAGAGTATTTCAAGTTCGTTGATGTGAGCGCTGTTTAAGAAGTAGTTTGTACGGAGTACCCGGTAGGAGTAGCATCTCTGACTCAGAGGGCTGTCGGCCTTTTTGGCATACCCTCCGTTCTTTGGTCACCACCGGGCCCTCGGCTCTCACCTGTGGTTCCAGGAATCCGTCTGCAGGCAACAGCGGCCACATCCCGGTAAACCGCTCGTCAGGCGGGCTAAATAAAGTTGAGAGTAACCGCGAGCTTAACTCCCTGCGATTCGGTGTCGAACGAATGAATGTAGGGCGAACGAAGCCGCTTACACAACTCAAGCTAATGCCCCCGTACTCATCAGAGATGCATGGACTCTTTTTCAGCTGGAAACTGTCAGTGGCGTATGCCCCCCCCCCCACAGAGGGCCACCAGCAACCATGAAATACCTTCCTGCGGCCTTACGGTTAGTACTGGTATGTGCAAAGGCTAGAGATACTTCCTCGACCTAAAGCCGGGTGACGCTGGGGACGTTTCCTGTACCTAACTCCCAAGAAATTTCGTGAAATATCCACGAAGCTGGCTTATCCGCTCTCAGGAGCCAGTCGTTGCGTAGTAAGTAGTTTCGAGCGAGTCCCAACAATAACAACAACCCACATCAAGATACCCTGAGATGCCCTATGACCCTATAACATTCTCTTCAAAACTCCAACTGCGAATCGTGCATCGGTGTGTGTGTGTGTGTGTGTGTGTGTGTGTCTAAATACCCTCGTAGATGTATTGCGACTATCACAAGTAATAGTTATAAAATAGCTTTTTGAAAATGGATTCATTCACCTATGTGAATGCCAGTCGTTTGTATTCGCCACGTTGAATGTGAACCGCTTGGTAAACATTTCACGGTGCTTTTAGGTGCAGTCCACTATCTGTTGTAGGCGCAACATGTGAACGAATCTGTTGTTGACCTATAAAATGGTATTTGGGTTATTTCTCTTCGAGAGCTGCATGTTTGGGGATACCCTATTCCCTATTCATGCGGCGTTTGTACTCAACTGATCTTTCTCCGTTTATTTTGGCTTCTCGATGATATATTTCCTGAGCTTGCAAATCCACAACAACATCCCTTGCTCGAGTTGCAGACACCACCTATTTCTTCTACGTTATTAATGGTCACTTGTCTCCTGTCTTCTCCTCTCCTAAATAGGGAATCACTACGGTACACCTCGTCCGGACCCGAATGCCACTGCATTGGACACCTTGATCGGAAACAATCTATCCATATCATCCTCATCCAGTGCACAGTTAACGGACGATTCGTGTGTAATCCCTCCTCCGTTGCCACCGTTGGCTTCTCTGTCCAATGTGATGGGAAGCTTGTCCACTCCAAGTGAATCCTCGTCTTCGTCGACCGGTGGTTCACAACAAACGCTTCCATCGGCCACAGCTCTACCGCCTCCACCTCCGGTTAGGCACTCCTCGATTACAAACCAGTCCACAAACACATCTCGAGAACGTTTACCCGGCCAACTGCAGGATAAGATGACGAACGGACAGCAGAAAGATGAGTCCGGTCTTGCAGCCTTTTCTCCACCGGGACAAACAAACTTTGCGCATCGCGATCGTGCCGGCTCAATCGATTTAGGTCCACTCTCGAGTCGATATGACAAATTGACTAGTCAATTATTATCTAACAACAATTATTTGATCGATTGCGATTTGAGTGGGAGTCAGTGGAAGGATTCAGGAATCCACGTAACCAATTGTTCCACCAGTTCAAGTGCCGCAACAAATGGAGGACAATCGGTGAGAATGGGTTTGTTAGTCGGTCGTTGTTAATGTTGTTCATCAAAACGAGTTGTTTAACCGGTTGGCTATTAGGTTGGCCTGTTCCGATCGTACCCATTGGTAATTACCAATTTCCCTCGGGGGTTGTCCAAACCGTTATTGTATGTTCTGCCTCGTTCTGCTCAATGGATAAATGTTTTAGTGTTCTGGATTCGGTCCAACTTATCTACCATTTCTCGCTACAAAATGGCGAGTGTTGTTAATACGTACGACAGTTATACAGGATACAGTAGCATTCAACTTCGGAAAGTACGTGACGTAACTGGCCAGTCTTTCTGGTTCAGGGGCTCATCGAATTGATATGCGTTTGAGCGATTTTGGGGGATAATTTATCAAAGTTCCGGTCCCATGGGAATCGCCTTTTTTATCGCTACGTAAAAATTCTTTCCTATCGGTTTTCCTATGAGATTCCATTCAATTGGGGATGCGGGTATTTGTGGCTCTCTTATTCATTAGATCTAAAATGGTGTCGTTCGATTTTAGGAAGAGGTCTGCCGGTAGTCAAAGCTGTGTGAGGCAATGCAGAAGTTAGGAATTCGGGAAGCAGCCATGACTTGTTTCACTTGTTCATCACCGCCGCTTTGTTTGGGGCTTTTGCTGCGCATCTCATCAAAATAAATTGCCACAATGTCAGCTATTTGCTGTCTGATGGGTGGAAAAATTTAAAGGGGGACCAAATTCAGACTTGGAAGGAGAGTACGAGAATCCTAACCGGGTGACTTGCCCACATAGGCCGCGTTAAGCTCTCGGGACCATTGTCGGCGGGGTTTAGAGACACTGAGCGACGACCATTGTGCATTGACTTAGTTTTGTTTGCAATCCAAGTCTGTATGAATTCTCTATCTTCCCTTTTTGATTCGGCTTGCAACACCTTTCTTTTGTTCTTTTATCCGAATGGGCACGAATGACACAGCAACTGAAACTAGCACACAAAAGTGTGCACTCATGGTTGTTAAAACTGCACTGAACTAAACCGATCGTCAGTTAAGCTGCGGTCGCCCACTGGAACAAATGCTTGATCTTCACGTTGGTGGAGGCATGTGTTACGCATGTCACCAAATAGGTTGCCATAGCGAGCGATGTTCACCGAGGCAGCCAGTGGATGGAAAAAAGCCAAGGGTGGTCAGCCTTAGACATGACACGACGGTATGAAATCCCTAACCAGAGTACTGGGTCACATAGGTCCCTTAGGCCCCGTGACTGGGGACCTCGGCATGACCGTCACCGAGGCTTAGAGACACTGAGTGATATGGCTGAGTGGCGTTCGTGCATCTTCTCCATTTATTCGTAACCTTAGACCATTGAAATTCTTCATTTTCTGTTCGACTCTACTTTCAACTTTCCTGTCTTTCTCTTATACTTCATCGAAATGGGCAGCAAAAAGACAGTAATCCAGACCGGCGCACGAAGTTGCATAGTTAATGGTTGTACACACTGAAACTTAAACTAAAGTATCCTGGTCCTAAAACCTGTAGCCCGTGAACTACAATGCATCGGTTAAAATAGCTGTACTGAGTATGCATGCTTGTCGTTCTCCTAGTTCGACATCTCGGACGAGCACGTTTTTGACGCACCTACTTGTCACTGTCATTTCTGTTTCATCTTGACTCTCGTTGACGTTTCTCGTTGGTACATGAGTATTGTGTACCTTTGCTCGGTTAACGGTACAATCTTAGCGTTATCCACCTCTGGCTAATTTAGCACATCGACTATCGGGATAAAAGAGAGTTCACAAAAACACAACACCGTCCCCATAGATTTATTGTTAAAACAACAAAAAAATCCTGTTTTCGGCTCGAGTAAATGGAGTATTCAGTGCTCCATCTATGAGACATTCGTGTTTTTCATAACTAAGGGCTGATAGAAGCAATCGGTTTGTGACATTCGCTCTCTCCAACCACGCGTTTATCCGTTCATGTGCGCACGATTGTGTTTGATCAGGTCAGCAATCAGCACAGCTGCTGTTGACACCAGGGTACTTGTTTTTGATGTAGCATTGTGTGCACGGGGGTACGTCTCAGGATCTCTGCTCAACTGTAACCGGATTTGCCACGGGTGACGCATATCAATCACTTTGCAGGCTGTAATCACATACACACACTGTTCACTTCGTACCCAGTGTTTATGGTCACCGTGTTTTCACACTCGCATTTGCCATTTCATGATACGGCTTGAGTAGGTATGTGTTCATCAAAATCGTGCAACATGATTTGCATTTTGGAAGTATATACGTGTATATCGATAACTATGGATGAGCGGCATTTACTCCAATTCTCATCTCCCATTGTAAAGTTCTTAGTTCTCGCGTATCAACTGTAGCATACAGGACTTTGTCCACCGCTTCCGCCGATTCGTAATACACGCAAGAAGGCAGATCTCAGATTCCGGTTTCTGGTACCAATGGCGCTGTCAGAATGCTGCAACCAAAACCCCACTTAGGGTGTCGAACCAACTGACAAACGCGACCCAGCACAGACGCTCTCCGCGCACAGGTAGAAGACACTCCGGACGAAATTTTCTCCGTGGAAGGGGGATTTCTAAACAACCTGCAAGACAGAGAAAGTACATAACCATGAACCAAAAGGTCCAGTGAGACATGCACACAACTCACACGCAATCCAAAATGGCGACGACGTGCTCAGCTTGACTAGTGTTAAATCAACAATTGAGCTTGTGCGACCTTAAGTATCGCGGTAAAATTTACAGTGGTCCGAAAGTTTCAGTTCAGAATTAAGTAATATTTTGTGCAAATCTGCATGAAAGTTCATTCTTCCGGATAAATAATTGTTGCTTCATGGAAATGTTTATTCTGTTCAGTACACTTACGCAGTAGTTTCACCATGCCCAAACCAGATAAAACTCCCAAGGCAGTTTAGCATAGAGTTGAAGCCGAGAGGCACCTGAATATAACAACTTAGTTCCTCACTTGTGTAAGTGCTTCAGTGTGAACGCAAGCGTAATTTATCGCATAATCGGCGGAATTTCTCCATCAGTACTAGAACCAAGAGATAGAATAGATGGATCATATCACAGCAAGATGATGATGATGATTGAATTCGATCACAGCAGAGAAAAGGAGCAATACAGCAGGTGGAGAAAGCTGATCTACTGACCTAGTTTTCCAATGAATTTCGTTTTATCTGTCAAAGAAGGAAATAACCAGCCCACCTAATAAATTAGAAGGAAGTAAATACCGGGCACCTTATTGTTGGTCTCCTGTACGTGCCAATCTAGATGGCGCGAAATTTTTTTGCGCTGATGAGACAGGTTTTCGACAACTGTCACTCTGGAAATGCACGCGCAAAAGTTTCGGTTTTCCCAGATAAACTTAAATATCGTATCTCGCTCGAGATCGGTAGTACTTACTTATCGCTTTTGCATGCTTATGCTGTTTCTTGATGGGTCACGTCCAGTATTAAATTCATTCGATTACCTTGTAACAGTTGGGATTTGAACGTATTCGAAAACTTTCTCCGTGCTTTGGAAACAGTTCTAAGACAACTACCTCGACAGTGGCCAGGGTGAAGCAGGTATTAGAAAAAACTGGCAAAAGCTGCTTGACAGTTAGCTTGGTGAATTCCATGCGAAAATGATTGGCTCCAGTGTTCAAAAACAAAGGACAAATAGAACATGAACAAAATGAAAGTAATGCACCTGTATCATGCCCATAAGTCATTCTGATATAAATTTACTCTAATGTTATTTTCTTACTGCGGTTTTGTTACTTCACAACTGGTGAACAGCAACCGTCGTCGAAATCGTGATGTCGTACATTTTTATGGCATCCGACTAATAGAAGCAAAAATGTAAGCTAAGATCAGTACAGCTATGTATACTTATATGTTTGATGTGTGGCAATATAATATTCGATCCGGTGAATGAGACTCGAAACAATATATACCTTGGGAGGAAGAAATCTGATAAAAGTCCGGATGTTACACGAGTTTGATCGATATATATATATATATATGCGATTAGGGACCACTTCACCAGGTACTAGCCGGATAACGACGCATTTAAAGTCATTTACAAAGTGCTCGAAAACAAGTTGAAGTACGTTCGGAAACGTCAATTGGCAACGACAGAAGCTGTAGCAATCAAAATCATGAACCCACCACTGTGCAAACAGAAGAAAATGGTTGCCACACTCCAGTTGCCTTGGCCCCAACCAAACCTACGTGACGATCCGAACCATGATCTCAGTCATGTCGTGATGATGCAACATGGCGTGACAAGTTGTATGTGAAAAAGGTCATCGGAAATTTCCAGAATTGACCTTGGTCCCCCTTCAGCCTCTGTTCTATTTTCTCCACTCGCTCTGATTAAACCTGACAGACTGTTGTATTTTCACACTTAACCTCAATGGACCAATCACATTTATTTCGACCTTAGATATAAATTCACACACACATAACTGTAAATGCTGGAAGACGAAGTCACGAAAACAAGCTTGTTCGCTATATTGTTCCTCTTTTGATTCACATTGCTCTGACCGTACACAGCCCTCTTTCGGGTGACTTAGATCACAGTTAGCTAGATAACCATACCTGTTACTTGTTACCCAAGCTAGTATATTTCATATAAATCAGATTCTTATTAGCATCAGTGATACCGGTTGCTTGCCTAATTCCTCCGTGTGCATCCAAATTCGCTTTATCCCTGTGAATGTCGGAGATCGGCTTACATCGCTTGTACTGTTCGCATTTGAACGGCATCACTTCTTCATTATTTCTTTCTGTGCCAGTTTTTTAGGCTTGCAGTCACACTGATGCTCAGGTTGTGCTCTCGATTTCCGCCACGGAAACGCATTCAGTCATGTCCTTGTGCAAACTGGAACGGAGTTTTTTCTTTGTGCACTGCATGTGTTGGATTGCACTCATTCAGGCTCGTAAATCAGCAATAAAATTGCAGCCTGTTCTCTCTCTCTCTCTGTGTGTGTGTGTGTGTGTATATATATG